GGATGATATATTTTGTGTGACAGACAGTCAATGCGGCACAGAGCAAATTCTACCCTTTTTAACTCAGCGCACGATAACGCTAAGTTTACTCTGGAATCTGAACGTTATGGTACGATGTTTTTCCCAGACGTCCAAATTAGCAGAAGATGAAGTGGGTAGATCCAACGCAGGGTGCATAGAAAAGCCACGTGGAATGGACAATACATCCATTTTGCCAGCTTTGTCCCACTAAGTCAGAAGCGGGACTTGATTAGATGTTTAACCGAAAGGGCAAGAAGGATATGTAGTGAGGACACGCTTTCGGACGAGCTGAATTTCTTAGCTGGCCTTTTTGAAAGAAACCGCTATCCCGAAAAGTTTGTTCGGAGGAATATTGAGTGCCGAGAATGGAGACTAACACCGATTCGATTGAAAAGACATTGGTTTATCTGTCGTTGCCGTTCAAAGGGGATGGAATAGCGCAAGCAACATGTATAAGGCTATCCGACGCCATAAACCGTACGTACTACGCGGCAAGCCTACGGCTAAGATATAATTCAACACCAAACGTAAGGCTTCAACTCAAGGACAGACTTCCTCGGCCAAGTACTTCTTTCTGTGTATACTCCTTTGCTTGTTCATGTCAAGCAAGTAATATCGGAAGAACAACCAGGAGACTGTCTGAGAGAATTCGTGAGCATTGCCCGACTTGGCTGTGTGCAGGTGGAACTAAAACAGTGACAAGCACCGTGTTGGCACAACGAGTTGATTTGAACTACCAGATCGATAGGCACCAATGTTTTCAGCCGATTTACCGCGGATATGGATGCTACATACGGGTGATAAGATGTTACCTATTAGCAACAGCCGAAGCGAACGCCATCCGTCTCCAGAACCCAGACCTATGTGCACAAAAGCAATTTGTTCAGATTCTCTCTCTTCCCTATTCCCTTATTATAGTAACCCCTGCTGAGAAACATGCAACTGACATGTCACTGACCATTTGTGAACCAAGCACTTGACCTTGTCCTTTAGATGACCTAGACCTTTTAATTTTACCATTTGAATTTTACTCCCGTGTGATGTTTTACCTCATTTTACTCGTATTAGTTGTGGTGTACCAGCCTGAGGAGATCCACCGAAAACGAGCTTGTTCGTTGACACCTGTTCTGATTTCATTTCTTCAAATGCTTCATGATAAATGTGTCAGGGAAACCATTTTCCCCTAAGGCCTCGCTGATTCTCTGTAGCCTTTCGTGGACGGTATCCTGAGCGCAAACACTATGCGCCCTGAAGGCGAGAAATCGGATTAACCACCTCTTCAGCAGTATAGGTAGGTATTGCGGTCTGAAAGTTAGTATACTGCCCATTCCATGTATGTTTTCTGCGTACCTTTCTGCTACATAATCCGTCATGGTTTCGGATTATTTCTGAATCCAACTAAGGTAATCGGTTTCAGTTTTCGTTTCACAGGTTCCTACATTAATGCTTTCTTAATTCATTTGGCTTACCAACTAGAGCCGTCTTGAGTCATCGATTTTGACCTTTCAAACAGTTTAGAAATCAGTCCCAGCCCGATGTGACACTATCCACGCACAATTAGCGTTATATAAACATTTGGGTTTGAAGAAACTTTACCGAAAACAATGCTTAACCCTGAACTGATTTCTGGTCTTGATTCGTATTGTTTTATCACAAGGCTGTTTCAACCGCATGCACAACAACTTGAAATTGACCGTATTTGGCGTTCTATTGCTCACTGTTTTACAACCTTCCAACTATCACCATTCGTCAAACTAACCATTTGCAGATACTAAATGCAATAGCGCACGTAACGAGAAAAACTGAGGGTGACACGTGGGTGTTTCATTAGCTCTTTTGTTTCACACCGTACTCTTCACACGGCCATGCGGCCTGGGAACCTTCTAAATCAAATTGAATTCAAATTGGTGAAACTGGCACCAAGCCGCTTCATGTCGATCCATTTTGAACTAGCTGGTAACTCAACGCACTTATTTTGGCCGTACCTTGGTGCGATTAAATTTTCTTCCCCGGGAGGGGGTTTCATTAGTCAAGTTGGGTGCCGATACCATCAGCTGGTGATTTGGTTTCCTTGTTACCTTTCCTATACAAAACTTACCAGATACTCGGTTAGTTCAAATCAAGCCAAATTGCTCCATACATTATAGATAGATAAATTAATGATATATTTCTTAACAGTGCGAGACACAGACCAACTACATTCTGTACAACATAATCGGATGACAGAAAATTTTTTGAGTTTTACAAAGTAGCCGGCTCCGTTGATGAAACGTGACTCTCATCCATATGCCTCCTGGTCTTATTTCTTCGGGTTTACACTGGATATGGGGTGTGTGGTTGGAGCTGTGGGTGGTGCAGCGCAAGCCACCGATGGTCCCTCTGTAGGCGCAGGCGTCCTGTGGCTGGCCACGGTGACAGGCAAATCCGAAACCTCATGCCGCCAACTAAATACTATCGGTTAATTGAATGTCTGCACAGTGGTATGCGGGCGAGTGTGCAGCTGATTGGACAGACCTGGGATGACTTTGCAGTTATCTCTGGTGTGAAGCAAGGCTGTCTTAGCTTCTGCTTTATTTAACATCTATCTTCATGCCATGTCTTGTGCTTTTGATACCACTTGTGCTTACGGTGTTCGTGTGGAGCAATGTGTTGATGGTGCTGAACATCCGTCATTTCGGTGCGAGAATCCTAGTCTGTGCGACAAAAATCCGTACGTTGCTATTCGCTGACGACTGTGCGTTGTTTGCATACAGCGCGGATGATTTGCAGCACATGACTAGTGCTCTGGCTTCGAGAGCTGCCAAATTCGGGCTCACCATCAACACAAACAAAACTATCTGTCTCTTTCAGCCTTCACCGGAGGTGTAATCTTCAATATTGCCGCGAATCAGCATTAGTGATGAAGTGATGGAAACCACCTCCCGCTTCTGCTATCTTGGGAGTGTGATGTCGACTGACCAGCAGCTACACAGTGAGCTGCGTATCCGCGTGTCGAAGGCAGCGGCGGCATTCAGGAAACTAGAGTACGGAGTGTGGAACAACCACCTCCCACCGTTGTCACGAAGCTGACGGTGTACAAATCCATTGTGCTGTCTGTTCTTCTATACGGCAGCGAAACGTGGACGATGTACCGACGGGATGTGAGATATTTCGAGCGGTACCATCAACAGTGTTTGCGACGGATTCTGCGCATCGGATGGGGCGACAGAGTTACGGACACGGAAGTGTTGCGTCAAAGTGAAATGTATGCAGTGGACTACATACTTTTGCTGAGACATCTGAGTTGGCTCGGTCATGTGTTGCATATGGATTCGTCGCGGATACCGAAGTAGTTATTATATGGTCAACTGAGTACTGGGAAGCGGCATGCGGGGAAACCGAAGCTTCGTTAACAGGACATGATCAAAGTGAGCCTCTCACGTTCTAATCTTGATTGCAAGTCATGGGAAACGAAAGCGGTTGATCGGCATGCATGGCGCGATCCGATCGTCAAGGCCGTTGCCGAGTTGCAAGAGAAATCTCTCGTGGATGCAGAGAAAAAACGGCAGTTGTGGAAACGACTGGCGCCCATGGGTTGTACTCCATCTACGTCGAGCGCATGGTGCTGTAGCGCATGCGGTCGCGAGTACCTGGGTCAGGCCAGCCTAGTGAGTCATGAGCGAGGCCACCATCGAAACGACGACGGATCCTATAGAGAATGTAGGCAGAACTGGCGTAGCGTTTGTAGGTACGCTGCATTCGATTTGCTAACCGCGTGCTTGCATGCTAAGTCTTCTTATTTCTGGTGCAGGGTTTGCTATATTGTCTTAATGCTTTTTTAACTCGTATTAATGTCTACCTGAACTTTCTTCTATAAACTTGCACATGTCGCTTAAGCTAATTGTAATTAACTTAGATAGCAATTTCGCGTTTGTGGCTATTCTTCAAATATGTTTTCTGGCGTATTTAACCTTTCGCGGATTTTTGCAACCAATTCATTTCATACGCTCATTTAGTGAAGAGTTATATCACCGTATCTGTATGCATTATTCGATTTATTTTATTTGATATCGTCGTTTCAATTGATTGGCTGTTGCTTGATATCCCCGGTGTGGTTGCGCTTGATGCGCATGTTGACAGGGTACGTACCTGTCTATTACCCACTACCTCGTCCATAGTGGCTCTAGGAGACAGTTGGTCGTTGCTGGAGGGGACGGGGTGCACGGTCGTTGTTGTCGTGCTGGGCTCGAAGAGTGGTTCCATACACCCAGTGTGAAGCGGATTATGGTCCAGCCACCGCCTTGTGTGCGCTTGATTCCCCAAATACAGCGTGCTTGTGTTTGCCTGTGAAGGAGTGTGGGCCGGCTCCGTTGATGAAACGTGACTCTCATCCATATGCCTTCCAGTCTTATTCCTTCGGGTTTACACTGGATATGGGGTGTGTGGTTGGAGCTGTGGGTGGTGCAGCGCAAGCCACCGATGGTCCCTCTGTAGGCGCAGGCGTCCTGTGGCTGGCCACAGTGACAGGCAAATCCGAAACCTCATGCCGCCAACCATACTATCGTAGGGCGTGGTTCTCTTCGGACTAAGGGCAAGTTGCTCAACTCGGTTTAATTGTCAGTGTTAACAAACCAGTTGTTACTGCCGCGTGTCTCTACGACTGTTGCACTCTCGGCTTATATGGCGCAATGAGAGTACGGGTTGTGATTCCCGACGTCTCGGGTCATTATCACCTCCGGAACGTATGGGCGCTGGATAGACTTGATATCCCTTTGAGTACCACTGATCCTCGTTGGGGTAAGCGTCCTCGCGATGTACTCAGCCCGCGCGCTAGTGATGGTGGTCGCGCGGCGGCGAAACGCCGTTACGGCGTACAGCTGACACATTATTTATTATTATACCACTGATCTCGGATCCATTAACCCCGAACAGTCGCGTTCTTCAGTTGCTTATTCACTTATTTACTTCACTTACTTATTCACATTTCTGCATTACAGAAGGCACCATTCTTTCCCGACCCGACCACTAATCGGACGATGGAAACTCGAATTTTGCGATTCTGCAGTCCAGTGGAGGATGCACATAATGGCTGTTACGATCGATTGGGAGCAAGCAAGGTGAATATGCGATACTGCTCGTGTACTGGCGATGGGTGCAATCCGGCCTTGCGTGTGCGTTCCCGATTCGCAGGGCTGTTCACTACACTCTTGCTGTTCCTCACTTGTTGGATTATTTAAGTGCAATCGCCTGATTTATGGTCCATGCTCCTCCCAGTTTCGCACTGTTTCCAAGACGAGCGTTTGTAGTTGTTGGCACCGAGATCCCCCCACCCAAATTATTCATTCCAATATTCTTACTTAGCTCCACATTGACCCTGATAATCACAGAGTAGCATCCAAATTTTGCACCAGAATACAGACAGCCCATGGTAGCCATGCCTTAACGAATAAATGTTTTTTTACACGAAGGTGACGATGTTTTTTTTACAGAAAGTGGGGAAATGACTTACCACTTATGAATTGAGTTGTAGCTTTATGCAAACTAGGATGGATTTTCGAACCGACGACTATTGTCGAGCTTACAGTCATCCCACTGCCCCGTCCTACTCCAAATGGATGCGATTGATGGTGACATTCGGTGTTTCTCGTTAGGATTTGGTAGGGCTTGGCGCCTTTAGGAAGTGATCGGAGACGGACAACAGCACGTTGCGCCATACTGTGTCGGCGATCACGTGAGTACGTCCGAGTGACGGTGGCAGTTTGGGGGTGTGTTCGGCCACTTCTTCGGTGGTCTGAGGTCACTAATAGGCCTCTCGGCGGCGCATGTTCTCCTGTGTCGAACCCGCGCGAATGAATCGATTATCTCAAAGCTCAGTAGAAATTTTTTTCTTTCGACAAGTCACGTGAACGCGGATACAAGTTATTGGACAGTAAAGGAAGAACAAATGGCGCTCTGGTTGACCGAAATTGATAGGGAGGATCATCCGATGGCTGCACCCATCAGCTATCTGAATGACGGAACCCACCTACTGACACTTTCGGGGCTCGCAATTCCCCTAATCAAAGCCATCAAACGAGTTAACGCCACAAACAGTGACGTCGACAGTCGAATCTTTTGGCGTGGTAGCAGTGAACCTTTACGCCTTAAGTAAAGCACGCATCAGCCGTTTACGTCTATTGAACGGTTGCATCTATTGAACCGTTAATACCGTTCAGTCAGCTGGAGGGTATCTCTGCTGTTTGCTCTGACCCCTAAGTGACCACGCACTGCTTGAGTATAAATGGTCAAACACATACCTATCTGAAGCAATTGTTGACCGGTGATGTGCTGTTCTTCTTCTTCTTACTTCCATTAGACAGAGCGAAACACGATTTGTCAACTTAAAAGTGGACGAACCGAGGCTGTAATCACGTAATGTGTGTCCGGTCTGTTTACACTGAACGGAAAAATACACCGACTGCGAAAAAGAAGGGGCTTTCGAGCTGTGTCATAGGGATTTCTAGCTGGTGTAATTGCACTAAACCACAGACCCAGCTTGGTTCGTCCGGCTATATTGTAGTGACCTGGAGATTCCTCCGTTTTACTGGGCAAATTATTCTAAAATATTCTATACTTAACTGCTACCAATCCCGCACTGAAGATGCCACCTCGAATGGTGGCGAAACGTTTGCAACCAAGTTGCCCAGCTCGGAGAACTCCACAACAACTAAGCAAGCCTCCCGAGCAACAATATTCCAAATCATTTCGAACTTATAGTTTTGCTATGTAGTAGTGAATTATGTGATTTACTCGTTTGAATGTTTCTCTTGTTGCTTTGAGTCACACGCAAGACACTCGCATCCGCGCTGTGACCAATATGAGGCGACCTGCGGCTCGAATTCAGCACATGTCCACAACTTTCCTAGCCAACTTCCTTCTGGTGCCTCATATTTAGCCTTAGCTAGTTTAGCGACCTTTCAATAAACCTTTTCTAGTTCATTTTCGTATGTTACCCCGTTCGCTTTCGGTCGTCCATTTAGCTGTGAATCTGGTATGTAGCGCACGACCGGTGCGCCATAATATCGTCACAAATAGAAGTTCCCACTTCACTCGGAACATACGGGCACACACACGTATTGCGTTGAGCGAAATCTGCCTGGTGCGCCCCAAATATGTTCTGCACTTTATGGCGTAGGAATGATCCTTCCTTTCAACAAGAGGGTGAATGAGGGTCCCTCTCGTAGGCGTTCGATTCGAGAACCATGAGAAGCGGGAAGATAGCCTTTATGATATTATTCAACTGTTGACGCCTACTTTGCTGTTTCCAGTAAGGCATTATAGACAAAAAAACGCGGAAGGTTGTACGGACAAGAGAAATGCATGCACGAATCGTTGCAGCCATAGGAACGTAGCGGAGAGTTGCAGCACACGCGTACATAATGCGCGGTTGCCAGGACAGTCCCTTCGTGCGACGCTGTCGAGACAACCCGTACCGCCTGGAAAGTCATGTGACTGTGAGCTGAGATCAGACTAAGAGTGGTAGGCACGCATCGGCCACTGGGGCAGCGATGTGGTTCTATGGATGTCCGGGCCCTGATGTGTGCACTGGGCTTGAGCAGTGATCGATAGGCAGAGCAAAGGTTAGACGATTATCTGAGAGTACAGTTAGTCCCAGAAGTCTTGTCCCTTTTTACTCTGTTACTCGGGGACCAGAGGTTACGCCTTCGGGCGAGAGGAGAGCGCACTAAATTGCCAACTGTCCATTAATAGATGTTGGTCTATCTCAAAATGTCACTCATCCGGTCACATGGGTGTGAACGGCCGGAGTGATGGCCGTAGGCAAGTGCACCTGGGTACAGGCGTACTAGCCAGTCTCCTCCATCGTGAAAACGCTGGATGGTCGCAGATGGTTGAGTTGAAGTCAACCACGGCACGCCACAGGGTAAGTTCACCGAGCGATACATACCTGGTTTCGGGCTGGTTGAAACGAATGCAGGCATGCAAAAGCAAGACAGCAGTGCAACAGTACCGGATTACTGCGGTAGAATTGTGGTGACGCTTGTACAGGCCTAACTGACCTGAGGAAGGAATGTTCAATAGGTGCTTAGTGTTATCCCAGCTAATGACAAAAGGGTTATTGGCAACAATCTTGTAGACTGGAAGTTAGCTTTCAAAACCCACCCTAGCAAAATAGGCATTCCTTACACTTAGGCATAGCAAATATGAAATGTACCGTTTTGAGAAAGGAATCTTGAAAAGCTATGCCGAATAAAGACTACCCGCTGCCGCATAGCCTATTTTCCCGTCACAGCGTTCAATCGAACATATTCACTGATGAGGCAATATTCCATTGGCATGGAACTGAGAACCTGCATTTCTAGGCAATATCTAATCCTCGCGGATACTGGGATTCACGTATTTCACAAAGCGCTAGGCTCATTGGCTCGCAACACTGAGTGACAAATTGTGGGACCACAGCACACGCATGTGGGTTCTCACGCATACTGTCCACCGCAAGCCAGTTATTCCTGTGGTAACTCCGATTATCAACTTCAAAAGGATCGATAAGCCGCGCTTTTACGATCTGTATTCTTATCGAAAAATGGTTGGACCATCTTTCTTTCCCCTTTATGTGACCGGTATGTTAGTCTTTAGAAGCCCTTATTCCACGCCTGAGTCTGTACGCCGATGAACACGATAAAAATACGAAACCACGTAGCCTATTCTCACATCACCATCTCGTTTACAGCCTCCCCGTATTCCTCAGGCATAACTATGAAGAACAAGTATTGTCATTGTGAACCAAATTGCGTAGAAGTGATCAGTCTAAGCGCTGTCGAATCAGCTTTGCTTATTGCATGCATTCTGGCCCGACCCATCTTCGACAGCATTTGCCCGTACACCAATTTAGTCCAGAAATCAGTGATAACGGTGAATACGTATACTAACATAAACAGCATAAAACGGTGATATGTCCGTCATCGAAGAAGATGCTCAATGGGCCCGCCGGCGTCCTGCTTGCAGTGCGGAAGTCGTCTGAGGTAATAAGCTATAACTTTTTGCGAAGTTTCCGTGTTGATGGCGCGACATTCGTTGACAGGACCGCCTTTCAGTTGTTCCAGTGAAATAGGCGTTGTCTTGTAAACTTCAAATAACCACATAGGAAGAAATGTAAGGGGTTCAAAGCTGGTGACCAAGTAGGCCTATCCTTTGGACCTCCGTGACCGATCCACTGATGACCGAACACCTCGTTAAGAAAATCCCGCATCGTTTGCGCATAGTAGGCAAGTGCGCCATATTGAAGCTATAACGGCTGAAGCGAAGTGCCGAAGTCGCCAACGAGAATCAGTGGTGTAAACATCTAGCTTGTAGCTCCTACGTTACTTGCCAGCGACAGTTCCCTTACCATGTGAGAATCATGATAGACAGAAGGATGGCGGCAATCATAATTGAGTTACTTGGCAAAAATGAGATTAACATCATATCTGCAACGGAAGCGCATAACGCAGCCTACTGAGCTTCAACGGTTTCGTCCACCGCCGTCAACTTTATAGTAGACATCAACGGCGACGCCTGCATTATGTCGGACAATTGAGCGATCGAGCGTTTCTCACGTACCCGTCTTTTTTATTTTCTCATAGCGTTCATTCTACCCCGACGAAGTATTGGCACCAGTACCCATCGCAACAATGTGGCAGTGAAATCAACGAAGTAGATGTTCAAAATGACCACCGTCGTTTCGCTTGCAGTACAGTGTGCGCCCGATGCTATTGGATAGCACTTTCTGCAAGTGTCAGGCAGCTAAACCACTAGATATGTCATACGAGTAGTCTTTTATGCATAACTAATCGGGGATCGTTTACACTTCGCAATAAGTTTCCTGTTTTTCTAAACCATCGAAACAGAACTAAAGTACCTGAGTTTACAATCTGTTATTGCACAGTGTTCATTCTCTGCAAACAATTTTCGTGGTGTATGCTGTGAATTCATCCTAGCTGGTAGCCTTGGTAACTGGATATTCGTCACAGTCACGGACAGTTATGTATCCATGAAAAAGCAGCGCATTCCATTCATTTAGTGAAAGGCTACAACCGTCTACCTCTAGTTTTCGCAGTAGGAGTTAAGACTGTTGAACCGCAAGTAAGGGTGGCATCCGTCATGAGTAAGTAACTGGCTACGACGTTGCACGTCCCATATTCCAATACCATGGACGTTTCCGATATGCTGTGAACAGAGTTTGGCCCCATAGGTACAACTCATTTCTCGGCCGCTGTCAACCAAACAGCAGAAAAAGCAAGTCTGGATAATGACGAATCTTTAAGAATTAGTAAAAGGGTATTTTGATCAATTTCAAAAGAGACCGCACAGGTGGCTTATGGCATACTGTCGCTACACTTGCAGGACTGCCCTATAGGGTCGACTTGTACTTTAGCTTCACAAGCAGCGATATCCCCTTCGAACTCACGACCACCCTGTTGCGAAGACGAG